TCCTACTCTGGTGAATAGTAATTTGGGTCTTCAAAGCTGTGAGCAGCCATCTGAAGGGTAACGATTCATCTCCCGCTGTGTGGAGCACAGCAGAGGGGAGAAACCCGAGACTTGCGGTACCAAGTAGTCCCACGAATGAACGGACCGTGCAAGTACCACTCTCCGTGACCCCCGGGACCAGAACTACAGGGTGCCCACGGCCACTACAAGGGTTCTGAAAGGGATCGTATTAGAAGGTCCTGGATAGAGTGGGCGAAAACTGTGGGGAAAAACCCTGAAAATCATAAAGAGATTAGCCTTACTGGTTGAAATAGACCTTTGTGGAAGCCTGAGCTCATGACCCTGTATGACCCTTCAGGTCTGGAACTGAATTGAACTCACCCCAGAGTTCCATTTTCAGCTGGCCAGTTCTACAAGGGCGTAGTAACAATAGGCAGGTATGACATCTTAGAGCAATCATCCATTTGAGAGCAAAAGGGTAGCAATTTCCCTAAGGTCAAAGTTCAGGAGGGTTAGGAAAGAAGGAGGGGTGGAAACAGCAGTTAGGGAAGTAGAATGAGTGTTGTTACATTGTGAGGATTGTCATCAGTGACATGAAATAAAATGTTTCAGAGCTGGTGCATGGAGACATCCACGGAACCCTTCACCCCATCACAATAAGAAGTTCAAAGAAGACACCACACTAACATATAATAATAGTAACAAAGTTTAGAGAACCCAAAATAATGTACTAATTATACAAGGAAGTTTCAAAAAGATTTGGGACAATCTCAAAAAGATTTGAGAGCTAGTGGAATTTTTCCACAAAGCTTTTGAAACCTCCTTGGATTTCACTGTGACTATTCCTGATAGTTTAGGAATTCACTGCAAACCAAAAAGAACAAAAGAAAGAGAAGCAACTTGAGTTCAGAGAAATCTTCACGCTATGTGGCTTGAGCCACTTTTAGTCCGTGATGCTCCATTCCCTTCCAACCATTCCCAGGGCACTGGAAACTTTTCTTATCTAATAGCTAACAGAAAATTGTGAAAGAATTAATCACGAAGAGTGAGTGCTACCTATCTAATAATTAACTTGCAAACAATTAAGCATTAGAAGAAGTGCCCTTTACATTTTATAAGGTGACCTTGAATATTTTAAAGTGAACTAAATTAGATTTTTCTACTTCTTGTACTAGTATAGACTTCTTCCATACAATCCTGATTTCTTTTCAGGAAGAAAACATAGAGAAATATATAAAACAATCATCTCCACAAATCTGAATACTATTTAGGAGACAATTACTAAGAGAATGAAGGTGCGCATTAAATAACTTAATTTTTTTTCTTCCTAGCATGGTAAATGAAGCAAGCAGTGACAAAAATATCAAATGGATAAGCTTATCATTTTAAAGGTAATTGTTTCACAGTTGAGAACATTTAAATGTGTCAAAAAATGGCTGCCTTTCGTGAAAAGAAACTGCAAGCTTCAGATTTCAGTATATTTGGAACAGGAGGCTGTCTGTACCTGAAACGGTGCTGGTCTCAGAACCCTTCTATGGGGTCTCATGATTCGGGAGGGACTCCCAGGCAGTAGGGTTTGTGTGGATGAGAATCTAAGAAAGTATGCAGAGATATTATTCATTGTAGCAAACCGAGAAGTATCATATAATGAAATAAGGATCACATTTTTCTCTGGGAGGTGATTTATATTTAAATGAGCTTTCTATAATCCTTTAAACTGAAGTGCAAATTGGTTATCAAAGTCTTTTGCTGTAAGGGTTGTTTTACATAATAATGAATTTCACAGAAGTTCCTCAAAGGGAAATATTGATTTAGGCCACATCACAGAATATTTCAGTTACAGCAATAACTTCAGATTAGTGCCCAAAGATAGCACGTAAAAAACTTGCTCGAATCAAAATTTCTTGGTAGAAAAGTATTTTTAACAGAACGCTGTAAAACAGATTTTATTTGCTCCATCATTTCTCATCCACATCAATTTAACCAGCTTTGGTGAGAATCCACCATCTCTTGGCACATGCCTCAGCACATGTGAAAGGTGGACAACCACTTTTGAGGCAGACCTCGGGAGAATTGATGCTCAAATTATAGGTTTGGTAAAGAATATTAAAAACACCGCAGTTTCCCAGAAGAACAAACACATTTGTCCTGCAGAAGTACAGCCAGCCTGCTTCTTCGTAGTGATACTGGTGAGACTTTATCTGACAGACTTCAGACAAAGTGTCAGGAGATATTCTCATGGCCATCGAGACAATTCTGATGCATGGCAACCTACGAGACGGGTGAAATGTACCCTGTGGGTTTTCAAAACTGGAACTCTGTATGGGAGTAGAAACCTCATATTTCTCCTGTGAATGGCTGCTGGTTTCGAACTACTGAGCATGCAGTCTGCAGCCCATTAGGCTACCGGGGCTCCTGGGAAAGCAGAAGGTCAGCAAAAAATAAAGACCTTTTCATGCGACCGAGTGATGGAGTGGCTGCAACAAGGCTCAAACATAACCATTGTGAGGACGGGCAGTGTTTCCTTCGGTTTATATAGCGTGGCTGTGAGCGGCTGCCTCAGACTCCACAGCACCCAACAGCCATCGCAGCAACAGGGCACGGTGTCTGTGTGTGGTTGTGTGTTTTCAATGGGCTATATGAAAGTAGCAAGGTAATGGAAAGTAGGACATGTTTATAGAAGATCCTGTTACTGACAACCCCAGAGAGCACTCATTTGAGTTATTACTGTGTTATATAACTTGCATCTGCTACATTAATTTTTTTGTTTAGGAAGAATTCTCCAGGTAGCAAATTCAAAACATCATTTCTTTAAAGAAAGAACAGTGTGGGGAAATAAGTGGATGAGAGTGTTTATACCTAAGTTTATATCTCCCCTGGTCCTTATGTTACATCACTGCCTCACATCTGGCTCTTTTATTCTTGAGCCTCTCTGTCCCCGTTAGAGACCTGGTCGCGTAGTGTCAATGGAACGAGATCTGCAGTTTGAAACCACAAGCCTTTTTCTGTGTGTGTGTGTGTGTGTTTTGATACTATTTTTTAAAATCATTTTACAAGGGGCTCATACAACTCTTATCACAATCCATACACACATCAATTGTGTAAAGCACATTTGTACATTCATTGCCCACCTCATTCTCAAAACATTTCCTCTCCACTTAAGCACCTGGCATTAGGTCCTCATTTTTCCCCTCCCTCCCTGCTCCCCCTCCCTCATGAGCCCTTGATAGTTTATAAATTGTTATTTTGTCATATCTTGCCCTGTTCGACGTCTCCCTTCACCCACTTTTCTGTTGTCCATCCCCCAGGGAGGAGGTCACATATAGTTCCTTGTAATCGGTTCCCTCTTTCCTACCCACTCTCCCTCTACGCTCCCAGTATCGCCACTCACACCACTGGTCCTGTAGGGCTCATCCGCCCGGGATTCCCTGTATTTTCAGTTCCTATCTGTACCAGTGTACATCCTCTGGTCTAGCCAGACTTGCAAGGTCGAATTCAAGCCATGGTAGTGGGAGCGGGGAGGAAACATTTAAGAACTAGAGGAAGGTTGTATTTTTCATCATTGTTACATTGCACCCTGACTGGCTCGTCTCCTCCCCAAGACCTCTCTGCAAGGGGATCTCCAGTGAAACCACAAGTCTTTCAGAGGGACAAAGACAAGGCTTTCTACTCACTCCCGTACACAATTACAGTCTTGGAGACTCTCTGGGCAGTTCTAGCTTGTCTTACGAGTTCTATCCTGTCACTATGAGTCAGCATCTACTCAATGGCAGTGGGTTTTTTGTTCTTGTCTTTAAATCTGGCCTTCTTCTAGAGGGTAAATGCTAGTCCTCACCATAGTGGTAGAGTTAACACACAGGTGGGATTTAGTTTTTATAGATTATTTCGCCGCCACCCCCCAGCCCCGCCAGTTTTCATCAGTTAGAAATGTAGTGAAATCAGGTGGCTAGGGTGTGGCTGGAAGTCTGAAATTGAAGGTATGCATTGGAAAGGGCTTAGGACTCAATCACAGAGTTGGATTTGAATTCAAGGTTACTTACTAACAAGCTGTGTAGCCATAGACAATAGCTATTCACTTCCTTGAACTTTAGTTTTTTTCATCTGTGAAGTAAGGATGTTGGATTTGTTCAACAGTTTTCAAAGTTGTAGTTTTATTATTTTTTTAGAAGTAAAATCCAGCAAATTAGGTCTAATGTTTAATTGCAAGTTCTAGAACAGATGCCCATTGGTCAAAGAAAGGATTAAGCTTGGAGAAAGTTGGTGTAGAATAGAGCTACCTACTGGATCTCCGGAAACATCCTGCATTCCCAGTTTGTAGTACACACTTTTCAAATAGTGGACTAACTTATCACTAAGCTTATCTCGGTTCTCAGGTTCTATGAATTTAAAAACATTTGTAGACACATGAACAGGTCAATAGAATTGCAATTTACTGGAATGAGGGTTGGGGCTCACAATTCAAAGAAGAGAGACTATTATGTTGTAAAAGGTAGAATTAAATAAAGTGACCAGTAGGTGGCCCGGGAGCATGGTGTGAGGCTCCTGAAACTGTGTTATAAAGTTTTGCAGGCTGGTGGTAAGAAGAGCAGTTGGCCTTCCCAGTAACAATTTGTGAAATCTGTTAAATTTTGCTGTTGTTAATGAAATGTGAATATTATTATAATTTGGTACTATTAGTCTATTAATAGATTTTATTTTCTTAACAGTGTCTTGATATTGATATGTTATCTTTCAAATGTGAGCCAACAATTACTTATGATTTTCATCAAAACAGTTTTTCTCTTCATTTTTTTAACACGACTCTTAGAAAATTCAGTTCATGTGTTCTGACAGGAGAAGAACCATATTGCATCGTTATAGTTCCATCATGACCCTGGGATCTGGATTAAACTCTGCTAAACTCAGCCAGTGTCCTCCTGCCTCTGCCCTGTCTTCATGGTTGTCGGTGCTTCTCGTGTTCAACCCCAATGAGTCTATTGCCGCAGGTGCTTTTCGCTTACCTGCTTCCGCCTTCTGCTGCTTCTCAATCTTTTCCAGGCGCCCAAGCAAGGAGTCAATTTTAGTTTTGATCTGGGTTAATTCTTTCTTGATTGTCTGCAACTCATCTGATTTCACTGGAAGGGGGAAAAGAAGAAAACCAACAACAGAAAATCAAATACATGTGATTCACATCAGGCACAACCCACAGACAGCCCGTGTCTTGCCAAGGCCAAGGCAAGTCACACGGGACACTTCTTGGTTTTCCCTTTCTCCTTTGTCCTATTGCTCCTTGGATGATGGAGAATCCTGTCAATTACAAGCTGTGAACGACAGTGGTGTGAATGGGGGATACGAAATCATTTCTAGGGACCGGTGTGTAAAAGGGCGAGGCATTTGGAAATATTTTATAAAATAAGTAAAACAACACCAAGTTCAGTTTGGCAAATAGCAGAGGAAATTTGCAATATAAAATGGATTCAGATTGTGCAAAGATTAAACCACAACAGGTACAGTGATGCTACTTTGAAGCACTATATGGTAATAGCTATTTCAACAGCCTGTGGTATTTTCTTTCCAGCCTCTTGGGAATGATTGATTGAGAGCAGGATGTGACACTTATCCTCTAAAGAAATGTCGTAGATGCCAGGGAACTAGCTCCCATTTATTGAAAAAGTTGTCTGAGTTGACTCTTAAAAAAAAAAAGAGCATTAGGCTGTGCTTTACCTCTTTTAAAGTCCGGTGAGGGGAGTGGGGGGGGGGGGAAGGGGAGGGAGACTATTTACTGATGTTCTCATAGACATTTTCTATTCCTGGTTTTTGGTATTTAGTAGGATTCCCAAGGGGGGGAATGAGATTAACATCAGAATAACAACTTTTCACTTTTGTTTCTTTTTACATTTATAGTACTCTCAGTGTGGACATTCTCTAGACATTTCTGAGGACATTAAAATGCTTAACTCGATTATTAAAAAAACGATGCTACTGTGCTTAGGTGAGGAGTCCTGGTTGCAGTTCCAACACACCTCCAGACGCTCCTTGGGAGAAAGTCTTCAAGTACCCATCTAAGTGAGGTGTCAACTAAGTCCACATGGAAGAAGCACAAAAGCCTGCGTGAGCCAAGGATTGTACATATCATTGAAAGAGGGAGTGGTATCAGAGCGTAATTTGTGGCCACTTGGCTTACAGAAGGCTATGGATAACAATGGAAGCCCAAATTCCATTTGCAGGATCCACACATGGATTAAGCCTACGAAGTATCTCCTCTGACCAGAGTCAAAGCATGTAAATAGCCTTGTTATCAGACAGAGAGTACTGTAAAGTGGATTATGGTGGACACAGTTAGGTTGAAATGTAGTACTCTACCATTTGATCTCCCTATGACCCATTTAAAAGTTGTTTCAGTTAAAAAATTAAAAAAAAGGCTACACCCGGATTAAGCCTCTGGTGCATTCCCTCTGACCACCCACCAGGGATGTGACTAGCCTTGCTATCCCGTAGAGCGCATTGGAAAGTGGATGATGGCAGATGCAGTTAGGCTGAAAGGTAACAAATTGTAATTTGATCTCCCCTTTGACCCCTTACACATTTGCTCTAGGGTTTCAACATTTTCTGTTTTATTTTTGATTAAGGTTTTTCTGCTTTATTTGTAATTGTTGTTAGTTTTTTGTTGTGTGCTTTTTTTGGATGATTTTCTGTATTTGAAGTCCAGGATGGATAAAGCTATAGAGACAGTAACTGGATTAATGGTTTCTTGGGGAAATGGGAAGCTAATGATAATGAGTATAAGAAAGAAGAAAATGTTTTAAAATTGATTGTTGTAATGACTGTATAACTCTTCTTGATATAATTGAACTATTGAATTGTATGGGATGTGCTCTGTGCTAATACAACTTAAAAAAAAAGAGGTACATTCTTGGAAACCTACAGGGCGATTCTATGAGTTGGTATCTCCTTGATCACACTGAGTGCTTAGGCGAATGTTTACACAGTAAATTAGTTTCCCACTCAACAACTCACACAGAAATTGCTCTGTGATGTTGATTATAAGCCCCCATCCAACCAGTACCTCTGCCTCTCCTTGCTTGATCATCTTTACTTTTGTGTAAATATTCACTGTTTGATATCATACATCGTATTGCTAAAGGGGCATTCTTCACAAGTGCTATTGTTCTTTTTATAGCCCAATTTATTATTTATTTACTTATTTTATTTTTTAAAATACTTTTATTGGAGGCTCTTACATCTCCTATCACAATCCATACATTCATCCAGTGTGTCAAGCACATTTGCACATATGCTGCCATCATCATTTTTAAAGCATTCTTTTTCCACTTGAGCCCCTGATATCAGTTCCCCATTTCTTCCCTATCCCTCCCCTGCCTGTCCTCCCTCACGAACCCTTGATAAGTTATAGATTATTATTTTCATATCTTACATCATCATCTGTTGCCCCTCAGCCACTTTTCCATTATTTGTTCCCCTGGGAGGGGATTCTAGATTGATCCTTGTGATTGATTCCACCCCCCCACCATCCCCTAATCCTACTGGTATCTCTACTCTTATTGTTGGCCCTGAGGGCTTTATCTATCCTGGATTCCCTGTGTTGTGGGCTCTTATCTGTAACAGTGTGCATACTCTGGTCTGATCCAATTTGTAAGGCAGAATTGAGGTAATGAGAGTGGGGTGAAGGAAGCACCAAAGAACTAGAGGAAAGTTGTGTTTCATCAGTGCTTTATTGCCCCTTGACTGGCTCATCTCTTCCCTGTGACCCCTATGTGAGGGGATGTCCAATTGTCTACAGATGGGCATTGGGTCTCCACTCCATGCCCCCCTCCCCCTGCATTCAGCTTGGGAATGGTTTTGTTTTGGGTCTTAGATACCTGATCCCATCGACACCTCAGGATCACACAGGGTAGTGTGCTTCTTCCATGTGGGCTTTGTTCCTTCTCAGCTAGATGGCCGCTTATTTACCTTCAAGCCTTTAAGACCCCAGACACTATATCTCTTGATAGCATTTACTAATGCACACATTTGTCTCCAGTGATTGCAGTAGGAAGGTGAGCATCACAGGATGCGGGATTGTTAGAACAAAGTGTTCTTGTGCTAAGGGAGTACTTGAGTGGAGGCCTAATGTCCATCTGCAACCTTAATTCTTTTTTGTTTGTTTGTTTTTTAACATTTTATTAACATATATATATATATATATGAATACATAGTTCCATTACCCTCTCATTCTCTCTATATTTACATATGTGCATGCCTGTATTGTGGCCTCTATAAATGTCCTTTGCCTTCTGGTTCTTTCCTCTATTTCCTTTTTACTTCCCTCTTATCTTACCATCATGTTCGGCCTTCATTCGGGTTTAGTAATTCCTTGCTGTTACATTGCCCTTGATTAAGCCCCACTAGGCATCCTATGACCTTCCTCCATTGATTTTAGTTCACTTGTTCCTTTGTCCCTGGGTTGGTTACCCCTCCACCTTCCTTTCTCCCACCTCCCCTTCTCCCATATCCCCCCCTGGAACCATTGGTCCCGTTCTATTCATCTCTGAATGGTTTATCCTACCTATCTTATCTAGATAGACATGTAGATACATTAATAAGTGCCAAAACCTGGCAAAGCCAAATAAAACAACAAAGGAAGCCAAACCCAACAAAACAATAACAACGAAAAACAAAACCAAAATAACTAACAAAAAGAAAGCCACTGACAAAAATGGAAAGGCCTATAAATAGTTCAAGGTCTGTTTGTTGGCCTTTATGAGTGTTTCCCAGTAGAGTCTGATGGGGTGCCACACTCTGTCTCCCAAGTCTATTTTTGGTCTTCCCCGGGGGTTTCATCACTCTGCTCCCCCTGCTGTTCTGCTGCACACCCTCAGTGCCTCACCCCAGCGATGGGGCCAGACCGTGCACTATTCCCGCACTGTGTCTCCAGTGCTGTCCCCTGAGCATCCTGGTTCAGTGCAGGATGCCATGTCCCATGGTGGGGCCAGTCCTACGGTCCTCCCTGGGCGTTGTCTGCTCTGAACAGGAACATCATCCTCGGGGCTTGGTGGGCCAGGATGTCCTCTCCTCCCTCTCTGTCCCTTTGTGTTTCTCCCCTGTGCTCTGATCTGAGCACCCCTCTCCCCAAGCTGTAGCCCCAGTGCTGTGCTCTGAAGTGCATTCTTCTGAGGTGGGGTGGGGGTGGGGGCCTGTCCACATAGCCGGGATTGGGGCCAGCCCTGCAGACCTCTCTATTGGTTCCCTGGCACATGTTGTATTCAGGTCTTGGAGCATTGGGTTGAAGCCTGGTCTCTCATTCCCTCTCCTGGGGTGATATAAACAATGCCCTCCCCTTGGGTGGATTAGTGCCCTGCTCCTCCCCTACCCACGTCTTTCTTTTTTTCGTTTTCTTTCCCCTTCTTATTTAGTTGGCTGCCGTATGTATCCCTGGATTGGGTTTGGCCCCTGCCATAGTTGCTGGACCTCATCCCAGGGATGTATGTATGTATATAGTAGCTTTCCCCCTATGCCCCATTTTTAAAAAAAACTTACCTCTAGCCTAATTTATTTTTTGGCTATAATATATATTACAACATAATACCTCGAAATAGTGTTACCATACCTGTCATGATTTAATTTGAACTCCTCCATTCAAATTTATCTTACCTTGCAGATTTTCTCCAGTATTTCCCAAACTGGATTTAGTATCATTTAATTTATTTTTATCTATTTTGTGGCCTCTGGGATTGGTTCAGTCCCCGGTGAAGAGACTCTGTGAGGGCAATAATCTCAGGGGTTCCTCTAGTTTCTCTTAGTCAAGTAAATTTGACGGTCTTTTATGAATTTGAACTTTGTTCTACATTTGTCTCCCACTTTAATAGGGGCCTTTGATTGTATCCTTAGAATAGTTGGAAGTGGTAGGCAGACACCATCTAGTTCTAGTCTCAAGGCTCGAAGGGGCTTTGGTTTGCATGGGCTATTAGTCCTAAGGTCTAATTTCTTTAAGTCTTTGTTTTTCACTGTCCGTTGCTCAAGACTGGAAGAGACCACAGCTGTATGCTAGGTGGCCACAAAGCTTTTAAGACCCAAGATATGCCTCACCAAACTAAGAGGTAGAACATTATATTCATGAAGTAAGTTATGCCAATTG